TCCAGGAGAACCGCCGGCAAACGGAGCGACGGGGTCGTCCAGAACAAACACCGCCTCATTCGAGTCCCCAGACACCCCAGACACCGTGGCACATCCTTGGCTTTGAAGCATCATCAGAACATCAGCGCCGGGCCGATGCCGCGTCTCCTTCGTGAAGGGAACATGGAAAGACAAAAGCTGAGGCGGTGCGATTGTGGCTGCTGCTGCTGCTGCCCTCCCACTCAGCTCTCTCTCTGAGTCGTCCTCTCTCTCTCGCTCTCTCTGAGTCGTCCCCTCTCTCTCTCTGAGTCGTCCTCTCTCTCTCTCTCTGAGTCGTCCTCTCTCTCTCTCAGAGTCGTCCTCTCTCTGAGTCGTCCTCTCTCTCAGAGTCGTCCTCTCTCTCTCTGAGTCGTCCTCTCTCTAAGTCGTCCCCTCTCTCTCTAAGTCGTCCCCTCTCTCTCTAAGTCGTCCCCTCTCTCTCCGAGTCGTCCACTCTCTCTCCCCCTCTCCGAGTCGTCCTCTCTCCACGAGAGCGAGCAGCGGACGCTGGGCGGTGGTGGCGGTGGCGGTGCAGTGTAATGCGTTGACATTATTATGAGAGCCATGTTTACTCTCAAAGTCAAAATTCAAAGCCACTCGCTACTTAACCCAGCAATGTTTGCGGTGTTACTATCTGTCGGCGCTCCGAAGCTTGTGATGGAATTCTTCATTCCTATGGCAGGGTCCAGTTTGCCCATCCCAACAACCGTCATGTTGTTTTTTTACTGTTAAATATAAGAAAGTCACGTCGTCCCGCACAGCTCCTTGAGTCAATTCCGTGCTGGGTGAGGGCATCACCGCGCTGTGTTGGCCGTCGGGGGCGACACGACCAGGCGTCGCCACGCCGGCTCAGGCGAGTCGACCGCCCCGACGTTGGTCAACTCAACCCCGAGCCGCCAAGTGGACCGCGCGGTGCGCCCAACCGCTGCCCCACCACTCCCCCCCTCATTATATAAGAAACAGCTGGCAAGTGAAGATTGTTTGTGCGGTGCCCCAAGGCCCTAGCAATGCAGATGACAGCTGCACAGCTGCCCATGATGAACAATATCTCCATCTGTAATCGCGTTCGGTCAAGGGGGCCCCGTGGCAAAAAGTTACCATCCAGCTAAAATGTTGACTCACCATGTGCACAACGGGTCCACACAGACCCATAGATTTACATAGAGACCCACATGCAGACCCTCACACAGAGACCCGTAGGATCACGGACTCACGTAGAGTTCCACGGACTGAGAGACTCGCGCAGATACCCACAGACGGAGACCCACACACGCACACCAACATACATATCTGGAGACCCATAGACCTACATAGAGACCCATAGACTTAACAGAGACCTATATATAGACTAGCGGAGACTCGTCGGCTTACAAATAGTCCAATAGAGACCTACGCGTGCCCAAGTGTGACGTGCGCAGCCCTTCATCAATCCGCTGCTGGATCAGGGCCTCCCGCTCCCTGCGGGAAGCGCCAGGTGGGTTTGACCGTACTTCACCACCCTGGTCAGCGCGGGTCGGCAAAGGCGGGAGGCGCAAGTTCTGTACTCACAACGTTGGATGTGCGCTGCCCACTGGCGACACGTTGATAAGCAATCGCAAACGAACTGGAATCCCACCCACTAACTTAGGCCCCGAGGAAAATCTCCAATTCCCTAAATCGGTGCGAATCTCATCGCACGGCGGCACACGCGGATTACGTTAACCCCGTGCGGATGTCCTGTACAGTCCAGGAGCTACCCTTCATCTTCAAAAAGGGCCCTTAAATGTTGAGTTAGTTCACCCGTAATGCTGGGACATTTCTGACGGTGCCACCGTGCTCTTCCACGACCCTTGCGAGCAGCAACCCCTCGGGTTGATGTGAATTTCTCAAGTGGTGCTGCGGTTTTATTGTTGAGGAACCACAAAACGGCCACCCACAGAGAGCGGACGCATCAATAGCGCACGCAGCCCGGGGGCCATCTGCATCTTTCGCCGCTGATCATCTCGAACAAACAACTTTGACCTGTATTCTTGGTTCTGTCGGTAAAGTCGGGAAATAATAAAATAAAATAAAAACAATACAATTATCACGACGTTTCGATTGCAACACAAGCAATCATAAGCAGGTGTGAAAAGCACAGCAAGAAAATGTGGAAAAAAAATTATTGCTGTGAAAATGTTTTTCTTGCTGTGGTTTTCCCACCTGATGATGATTGCTTGTGTTGCAATCGAAACGTCGTGAGAATTTGTATTATGTTTTATTTTTATCATTTTATTATTTCCCTCCTACGTGACTTTACCGAAAGAACCAAGAATATGAATCCCTGCAGTCAAGAAAGCTTTAAATCGAAATTCGAGTTGTACTCGTTAAGAGTTTAACATTGTCTCGCGAATTTAGCGAGGTTATTTATTATTTCAAGAGCTTGGGGATGAGGGATGACGACGACGATGATGGGCGAAGGGAATTCCCAGGTGCAGCAGTGGCGACGGAAGAGGCATAAAGAGAAGTGAGGTGACCCGCAGTGTGGCGAGTGGACGAGTGTGTGGGGGGGCGAGTGAGGTGAGCGTGTGAGAATGTGTGCGAGTGGCTGCGTGAGTGAGTGGGTGAGTGTTTTTGGCGAGTGACAGGGAGGGAGGGTGGGTGAGTGTGTGAGTTTGTCGTTGATGTGACCTGCAATATGACCGAGACGAACATGTCTGGTGGGCCAAGCCCTCATACGTTCAAGTGAACGGTTTCGATGGCAGTAGGAGTGATGGTATACAGATACGCGATATACAAATCCAAAACGACAAAAAAATATTTAAAGCTCACACGTAAACTCTTCTCCTCACAGCAGGGACATCGGTGGCCAGCACAAAGCACGATAAACCCACTCACCCGAGCTCGAATCCTGGTCACGGCTAACATCGATGGCAAGTGAGATCTCAACTGATCCTGCACAAATCCTTGTCAGCAATCGGCATTGACCGCATGGGTCAAGTAGAGTCAAACGACCTCCATGACAAGGGGCTGTTAATTATGATTACATTATGAGACTTGCATACTCGCACAGAGACGCACTGACTAACATAGACTCGCTGAAACCCATTGACTCAAGAATAGACTCATAAACTCACATCAACCCATATACAGCACCCACACAGAGACCCATAGACTCACCTAGAGATCTACAAACTCACAGAGACCTCCTAATACTTTCCTAGAAACCCCATAGGCTTAGAGACCCATACACTGTACTTGCATCAGGACCCAGTAGCATATATAGGCCGACCGATGTACAGAAATCCAGCGATTTCACCAACCCGCACGGATCAGCGCGGTGAAGTATGGTCAGACAACCCTCACGACCGGGACAAAGCTTCAGGCCTCCAATGCAGCAGTGAACTGAACAGAGGGCCGTAGACGATTATTTCTATCATCAGCCATGGTCATTCCACTGCTGGATGAAGGACTTCTCAAGCCCCCTCACGATTCTGCGATGTGATTGATCCACCCAGCAGCACCTGCCATGTGAGGCCATCTCATGGCTCCATCTCCTCGACGGACGTGCTCTTTGCCGATAATGGCACGAAAAAATCAACACATTCGTCAATGGCACCGTGGTCTTAAAAAGGATAAATATATACGAACGTACGAATAACTGGCGCAATGGCCCTCATTCAATGGCGGAGCCAGGATTTTCAGGTAGGGGGGCAACCCCTCCAGCAATGAACAATGATAGAGGAGTTGTTAGTGAGTAAGGGCTTGTCACTTGCTTTCTATTCGACGCGTGTGCGGCGATGATGCAGCCATCGATCGAGGGTCGAATTTGAACCGTGTTGTGTGATCGGCATCGCGCTCACTGAAGGTGAATGCCTTCAGGGAAGTCGTGTACTGTATACGCAAATGCGCACAATTCTGCGAGTCACTTATAACCGCTTTGCCGTTACTTATTGCCAATTATGGACTCAGACTGTTGTCCTATCATCTCATAGAATCCCTGCCACGTAATAATATGCTACACAGTGGCAGTGGGGGTCGCAAAATGCCGATTTATTACTAATAAACCCCAATGATGCGATCGAAATTAGGGATTTTGATCGGATCATTGGGGGGGCACGTGCCACTCCCCCCCCCACTGGCTCCACCAGTGCACTTATTCATAGCACATAGGAAAACAGCGAGGCCAGAGAAAGCCGGAGTGCCTAACGAGAGTTGGAGACTGCACCATTGGGACCTGGTGAGAATTATATTTTTAGACTCGCAAAAAGACCCACAGACTCACAAAGAGACCCAGACACACACAGAGACCAACAGAATGATAGACAGGCCCATAGATTGACATAGCGGCCCATAGATTGACAGAGAACCATAGACTCATATAGAGACCCATAGTCTCACACAGAGACCCATAGACTCAAACAGAGACCCATAGACTCACACAGAGACCCATAGACTCACACAGAGACCCATGGACTCACACAGAGACCCATGGACTCACACAGAGACCCATGGACTCACACAGAGACCCATAGACTCACACAGAGACCCATAGACTCACACAGAAACCCATAGACTCACACAGAGACCCATAGATTGACAGAGACCCATAGACTCACACAAAGACCCATAGACTCACACAGAGACCCATAGACTCACACAGAGACCCATAGACTTACACAGAGACCCATAGACTCACACAGAGACCCATAGACTCACACAGAGACCCATAGACTCACAGAGAGACCCAGACTCACACAGAGACCCATATACTCACACAGAGACCCATAGACTCACACAGAGACCCATAGACTCACACAGAGACCCATAGACTCACGTAGAGACCCATAGACTCTATAGAGACCCATAGACTCACAGAGAGACCCATAGACTCACACAAAGACCCATAGAATGACAGGGGCCCACAGAATGACGTGGAGACACGTCTGAAAAGGACAAATATAATCGGCGACGTTCCGGCCAATGGCCCTTTGTCAGTGCTGTTGTAGTTAATTATCTCTTACCTTTACTCCCATCATCGTCGGGGATGGAGGTTTCAGTCTCCTTACATTTCAGCTCAGCCACTTCCAGGACGCGTAGACGAAACGGTGTGTACAGTACAACTAACTACACACGCACACAGAAACACAGAGATACAGCTCCCCATACAGACAACACAGGCGGTTAGGGCAAGTGCTGTTAGCGAGCACCTATTAAGGCCACTGCAGGACACGTGGTGTTGTTGGCAGTGGTGGTAGCTGATGTCTTCAATAACAGCGCGCCCGGCCGCCTTTGTCTCCCCAGTTATCACGGCTACCAAGTTGATCAAATCCGCTCTCGCCACTGAGGCTCGCCGTGGTTTTGTAGCGCGAGTGTGCTAACCACTGCGCCACCGCTCCCCCACCAACCCCACCACAAACACTATGAACACACAACCCACGCATCATACACAATGAGCATTTATACCGGAGGAATCCGATCAGCTATAAAGCTCTTTGTCGTCGCTTTTAAACTACTGGGGAGCACGTGCTGCTGTTAGCGAGCCACGCACGGCCCAGACAGCCGCCACCGAAGTTAGCCGAATACAAGTGGCGCTAACCACTGCGCCACCGCCCCCCCCCCCTCACCACCACCACCACCACTCAACGCAAAGCTCCCCCGTGTAGCCTCAGACTTGTCAGGGCCAAGTGCTGTTAGCACACAAACACACGAGGCTGGGCGATGGGCGGCCGCCTACCACGCCAGCTCGCTCGCCCCGGACCGCCTTTGTCTCCCCAGCGGAGATGTTCACCGAAACCCGGGTGCTAGTTTGAGGCCGAGTCGACCTAGGGGAGGCCCCGGCAGGACCGGTTCGGATAATCGGTTCGGATAATCGTCACTAACTCGGTTCAGGCGGGGTCGTGGCGCTAACCACTGCGCCACCGCTCCCCGCCGCCGCCACAATCAACAGAGAGACAAACAACAACAACAACAACTCACCACATCACGGCGTCGGCAGCGACCTGCGAGCTCCCATCATCAATAGCGACGACGCCTGCCGCTTGTTTATCGCGAGAGAGGCACGGGTCCACTACAGCGCACCATCACACGCGCGTGTACACAGCGCGTCGTTATACATCACCACCACCATCACCACCACCATCGTCGTCGTGTGCGGCGTGATGTCGTTAACGTGACACTTGTTGTTGCGTTGTGGTTGTTGTTGCGTTGTGGTTGTTGTTGCGTTGTGGTTGTGGCCGCCTGTCGCGCTTGGCGCCTGCGTGAGAGCGTGTGGACATGGAGCGCCCGACGAGGATATCATCAATTGGTGACGCGCGCGAGATGCATAAATTATGTTAATATGTGAGGCCCATATATGGAGTTATTGGGCGTGGCTTTGTCCATATAAGGAACACCGGATAACGTGACGTGATCAATCCGTGACAGCAGAGATGCATAAATTATGTTAATATGGAGGCCATTATGGAGTTATTGGGCGTGGCTTTTGCCCATATAAGGAGCACCGTGATAACGTGAGTATTCAACCGTGACAGCAGAGATGTCATAAATTATGTTAATCTGTGAGGCCCTATATGGAGTATTGGGCGTGGCTTTGCCCACATAAGGAACACCGGATAAAGTGACGTAATCAATCGTGACAGCAGAGATGCATAAATATGTAAATCTGTGATGCCCATATATGGAGTTATTGGGCGTGGCTTTTCCCATATAAGGAACACAGGATAACGTGACGTTATTCAATCGTGACAGCATAAGGAACACCGGATAACGTGACGTATTCAATCCGTGACAGCAGAGATGCATAAATTATGTTAATCTGTGAGGCCCATATATGGAGTTATTGGGCGTGGCTTTGCCCATAGAAGGAACACCGGATAACGTATATAATGAATCCGTGACAGAGCGAGCTAATAAATTATGTTAATATTTGAGGCCCATATATGGAATCTTTGGGCGTGGCTTTGACCATATAAGGAGCACCGGATAACGTGATATAATCAATGCGTGACAGAGCGAGAGCTCATAAATTATGTTAAAATATGAGGCCCATATATGGAGTTTTGGGCGTGGCTTTGACCATATTAGGAATACTGGAAATGGGATTTCGACCGATTTCTTAACGATTCGAAGACCAAACCCCACTTCCCCCAAAGTGCCCGTGTCCGAGCAGTGATGGAGGCTGTTTCATTCCTGTCCCATGATCTCTTGATCAGAAAGAGACATTTCTGGAATCAAAACTAAATCCCATATTAGGCCCGAACGTTGACGCCGATTCGGCTTTCCAAAACATTAACATAATATATATTTATAAACATAACATGTATCATTAACGTCTTGACTTAAAGCTTTCGTGACTGCAGGAATTCATATTTTTGGGGTCTTTTGGCAAAGTCACGTAGATAGGTTGACCTATCTACGTGGCTTTGTTGACCTATGGGGCCGTCCATAAATGACGTCACGCACCTGGGGGGGGGGGGTCAGACATTTGTGACGATGTGTGATGAGGGGGGGGGTTAGAAATGTGACGTCACATCAAAATGCGCAACTTTAAATAAATATAGAATTGTTATAACAACACTAATTGTTATGACAACACTGCTACAACATCAAAGTGCAGCGCCACATTAAATACGCACTACAATGACAATAGTACTGGTAGGAACCTCCTGATTACACCAGCCCACAGGGGATTATTGTGTCCGTCCGTCGTGCATCCAAAATGGGAGGGGTGGGGCTGGGTGGGGCTGGGTGGAGAAGGGAGGGTGAGGAGTGGCTGGGTGGGGAGGGTGGGGAGGGGCTGGGTGGGGAGGGTGGGGAGGGGCTGGGTGGGGAGGGTGGGGAGGGGCTGGGTGGGGGGTGGGAGGGGTGGGGCTGGGTGGGGAGGGGTTGGCCACCCCGTGGTGCCCTTATAAAACTGAACGTTTAACCTACTCACGCCGGCTTGTGCCCGCCCTCACAGTCGGCCATATTTGCGGAATACACCACGCCGCCGTTGACCCTGGCCATTGACCGAGCAACCCAACGTTCCTACCAGCTCCCTCCCCAGGAATGTGTTTTAAAGCGATTTGAAGCACGTGGTTCGTCAGTAGAGGAGTTCCATGTATCGCGTTCCAGCGCCCTCTATGGGCAACAGTCAACGTGTACGAGTTGGATTTTTAGACGTTCACCGTTTATCGAAAGTAAAGAGTCGCTTTTTATACTTTGCAATGATAGTGTCCTTAAAGAGCCGCTGGTTACCGACCCCTCAGCATGGGGAATGGCTTTAAAAGTTGTATAATCTCCTATAGACATAGATGCAACTGGTTCTTCACGTTTTGCAGACGTAGATGCCACTGGTCTGCTGATGTAGATGCCACTGGTTCTTCATGTTCTGCAGATGTAGATGGCGCTGGTTCTTCACGTTCTGCTGATGTAGATGCCACTGGCTCTTCACGTTCTGCAGATGTAGATGCCACTGGTTCTTTACGTTGTGCAGATGTAGATGCCACTGGTTATTCATGTTCTGCAGATGTAGATGCCACTGGTTGTTCACGTTCTACAGATGTAGATGGCGCTGGTTCTTCACGTTCTGCAGATGTAGATGCCACTGGCTCTTCACGTTCTGCAGATGTAGATGCCACTGGTTCTTTACATTGTGCAGATGTAGATGCCACTGGTTATTCATGTTCTACCTATGTAGATACCACTGGTTCTTCATGTTCTGCAGACGTAGATGGCACTGGTTCTTCATGTTCTGCAGATGTAGATGTCACTGGTTGTTCACTTTCTACAGACGTAGATGCCACTGGTTCTTCACGTTCTGCAGATGTAGATGCCATTGGTTCTTCACGATCTGCAGATGTAGATGCCACTGGTTTTTCATGTTCTGCAGATGTAGATGCCACTGGTTCTTCACGTTCTGTAGATGTAGATGCCACTGGTTATTCACGTTCTGTAGATGTAGATGCCACTGGTTCTTCATGTTCTGTAGATGCAACTGGTTCTTCAAGTTCTACAGATGTAGATGCCACTGGTTCTTCAATTTCTACAGATATAGATGCCACTGGTTCGTCACGTTCTGCAGATGTAGATGCCACTGGTTCTTCACGTTCTGCAGATGTAGATGCCACTGGTTCTTCACGTTCTGTAGATGTAGATGCCACTGGGTCTTCACGTTCTACAGATGTAGATGCCACTTGTTATTCACGTTCTACAGATGTAGATGCCACTGGGTCTTCACGTTCTGCAGATGTAGATGCCACTGGTTCTTCACGTTCTACAGATGTAGATGCCACTGGTTCTTCAAGTTCTACAGATGTAGATGCCACTGGTTCGTCACGTTCTGCAGATGTAGATGCCACTGGTTCTTCATGTTCTGCAGATGTAGATGTCACTGGTTGTTCACGTTCTACAGACGTAGATGCCACTGGTTCTTCACGTTCTGCAGATGTAGATGCCACAAGTTCTTAACGTTCTACAGATGTAGATGCCACTGGTTCTTCACGTTCTACAGATGAATATGCCACTGGTTCTTCACGTTCTGCAGATGTAGATGCCACTGGTTCTTCACGTTCTGTAGATGTAGATGCCACTGGGTCTTCACGTTCTACAGATGTAGAAGCCACTGGTTCGTCACGTTCTGCAGATGTAGATGCCACTGGTTCTTCACGTTCTGCAGATGTGGATACCACTTGTTCATCACGTTCTACAGATGTAGATGCCACTGGTTCTTCACGTTCTACAGATGTAGATGCCACTGGTTCTTCAAGTTCTATAGATGTAGATGCCACTGGTTCGTCACGTTCTGCAGATGTAGATGCCACTGGTTCTTCACTTTCTGCAGATGTAGATGCCACTGGTTCTTCACGTTCTATTGATGTAGATGCCACTGGATCTTCACGTTCTACAGATGTAGAAGCCACTGGTTCGTCACGTTCTGCAGATGTAGATGCCACTGGTTCTTCACGTTCTGCAGATGTAGATGCCACTTGTTCTTCACGTTCTACAGATGTAGATGCCACTGGTTCTTCACGATCTGCAGATGTAGATGCCACTGGTTTTTCATGTTCTGCAGATGTAGATGACACTGGTTCTTCACGTTCTGTAGATGTAGATGCCACTGGTTATTCACGTTCTGCAGATGTAGAAGCCACTGGTTCGTCACGTTCTGCAGATGTAGATGCCACTGGTTCTTCACGTTCTGCAGATGTAGATGCCACTGGTTCTTCACGTTCTACAGATGTAGATGCCACTGGTTCTTCACGATCTGCAGATGTAGATGCCACTGGTTTTTCATGTTCTGCAGATGTAGATGCCACTGGTTTTTCATGTTCTGCAGATGTAGATGCCACTGGTTCTTCACGTTCCGTAGATGTAGATGCCACTGGGTCTTCACGTTCTACAGATGTAGAAGCCACTGGTTCGTCACGTTCTGCAGATGTAGATGCCGCTGGTTCTTCGCGTTCTGCAGATGTAGATGCCACTGGTTCTTCATGTTCTGTAGATGCAACTGGTTCTTCACGTTCTGCAGATGTAGAAGCCACTGGTTCTTCACTTTCTGCAGATGTAGATGCCACTGGTTCTTCACGTTCTATAGATGTAGATGCCACTGGGTCTTCACGTTCTACAGATGTAGAAGCCACTGGTTGCGTCACGTTCTGCAGATGTAGATGCCGCTGGTTCTTCACGTTCTGCAGATGTAGATGCCACTTGTTCTTCACGTTCTACAGATGTAGATGCCACTGGTTCGTCACGTTCTGCAGATGTAGATGCCACTGGTTCTTCACTTTCTGCAGATGTAGATGCCACTGGTTCTTCACGTTCTATTGATGTAGATGCCACTGGATCTTCACGTTCTACAGATGTAGAAGCCACTGGTTCTGTCACGTTCTGCAGATGTAGATGCCACTGGTTCGTCACGTTCTGCAGATGTAGATGCCACTGGTTCTTCACGTTCTATTGATGTAGATGCCACTGGTTCTTCACGTTCTACAGATGTAGAAGCCACTGGTTCGTCACGTTCTGCAGATGTAGATGCCACTGGTTCGTCACGTTCTGCAGATGTAGATGCCACTGGTTCTTCACGTTCTGCAGATGTAGATGCCACTGGTTCTTCACGTTCTAGCAGATGTAGATGCCACGGTTCTTCAAGTTCTACAGATGTAGATGCCACTGGGTCGTCACGTTCTGCAGATGTAGATGCCACTGGTTCTTCACTTTCTGCAGATGTAGATGCCACTGGTTCTTCAAGTTCTATAGATGTAGATGCCACTGGGTTCGTCACGTTCTGCAGATGTAGATGCCACTGGTTCTTCACT